TGCTCTAGCCCCCAGGATTCCTGTTTTTTGAGGACTCCACTGGCTGCATACTGCTGTCCTTTCTCTCTGGAACACTGTCCCTCTTTATAGCCACAGAGTTCTCCTCTTACTGCCTTTAGGGCTCTGCTCAAAGTTCACCATATCTGAGGGTCCTGCTTGACATGCTCGCTCATGTAAGAGAACAACTCCTTCCTGCCTTGGCCTCCAATGCTCTCCACCCCTCTCCAAGTCTGCTTCTCCTTACCCTGCTTTCTTTTTCTTCATCACACTTTGCACATGGCTGTTTTCACATAGCACATAATAGACATTTATTGTCACTATTTTTTTCCCCAAACACACACACACAAAAATTGAGGTCCAACCAAATGACTAAATAAAGAAGAAAAATCTGCATTCCCTGCACATCGTGTGACTTTCCTTCATCAACATGAAGAATAAAGGGATTGGATGCATAGTAGTTTCTGTTTCATGAAGACCTTCAAGGTCTGCACTGCAGTGTTCCTTCTCAATTACGCAGTTTATTAATTTTTAAACAGGAGTGCCTCCATTTATGTGATGCAGTCCATTGTGTGCCTAATCCACTCATTAGGGATTTCCAAGTATGCTTTCATACAATAGACCATACGGCTTTGAAGCAACCATTAGGATTTCCATGTGAAGTCCCGGAGGATTAAAATAAAGCCTTGCAGTGAATGGGGGGTGCCCCAGTCTTGTGATCTGTCAGGCCCTCCTAGTCAGCCTGGCAATTGATGATTCCACTTCACAAGATTCCAGGAACTGTGATTGTATCAGATGACAGAGAGCATCTAGCATGAGAGCAATGACTCTTTTTGCTTCCTCATTTTGTAATGCAAAGGAAACTCAAACAAGTGTTTTCAGGTGTTGTTGCTTCTTTCTGACTCTTTTCAGATGGGGAGAAAGAGTCTGACATTCACGTTCTGGCTCATCAACATGTTCCTACACCAGCACCATCGGTTGGTTGCCTGGAAAATGCAAATTTTCAGGCCTCATCCCAGACCTACTGACTTGGGAACTCTGGGAGTGAGGTGCAACAATTTGTATTTAACAAATGCTCTGGAGCATTCTGGTGCTCACTCAAGTTTGAGAAGTGCTGGTTTAGTAGCTGCTGTTGATGTCTTGCCTGATACTCTGGGGTTTCTTTCACTCAACTGCTACAGCTGCTGTAGCTAAGAGCTCACACCTGAAACTGGTCCCTCAGCCATCCTTGGGCAACTGGATATGCTTGGGGGGTCCTCCTACCCACACACATGCAGGGGGGCTGCAGGCCAATGAATGATCGGTGCAGGTTACCAAAGCCCCCTTGCCTCAAGATGGGACAGACTCTGCTATGCTGTTTATGCTCCAGAGCTCCCTGACTTCTCCTGAAACCACGCCCTTGCTTTCTCCCAGTCCTACTTTCCTCACCCCCTCACAGATTTCTCCTGCAAGCAGCTCCCAATAAATTATTTACTCAAGAACTACCATCTTAGGCTCTGTTTCTGGGGAACCTGACCCAAGACCATTAACAAGTTCGCCTCAAAGATATTCCTCTAATGGATGAACAATGTGAGGCTGGGCATATGGTAAGAACGTTCTCAGCAAGTCACTCTGGCCAGATTCGGGCAGCCCATTTTCCACATTGCTTTAAGACCTTTATACATAGTTGTCACGCCCCACCTATAATTTTGAAGATCTCTTTGACTAATTGGTAATTTAATCCCATATAGACTGATTCCAGGTGGTAGAGATTGCAGGCAAGAGAAACCGGGAGATGGTTGGTCTTCTTTTATCTAGCCAGAATTGTTGGTGGAATACGCACTTTGGTTTTGTTGAGGTTGGGAATAATTGGTAGATTCAATGTGGTCATTAGAGAGATCTATTGCATTTGTTTTGGGCCATTTGGTCTCTGGAGGCATATATGGAATGTCCAAAAATCTTGTTCCAAAGGTTAGCTCTTCCGTGGGAAAGGGCCACAAAATATCCAAGTTTGAACTCCAAAGGTGCTTATTAAGCTCCTCCTCCAGCTCTAAAATCACGAGGAAAGGGAACCCTAGGGAACTCTCCATTATGGAATGGAAACAAGACGCAGTGAAGAGTCTATTTCCAGGATGATCTCCTGTCTCCCTGGGAGATGGAATTCTCTGTTCCCACAGAACCTCAAAGAGATGGTTGCAAGTTTGATTCTGGGCTTATGGAACTTGAGCCAGCCCCCAAATGAAATTTACCTCTGGGTTGGCCAGGAGCCACCTTTTCTAATGTGTTTCCTTTCCCTCCTTTACATGCCCAGGAGGAGTCAAGGTTCATCACAAAATAGTCTTATATTTCCACGAAATGGAAATGAATTGTCACAATCATCATAGATCAGAGGGTTGGGAAGAACCTTATGCAGATTTTTCCATCCTTTAGGATTTATCAAGACAAAACTATATTTTAAAAGACTCTATTCTCATAAGAATCCACCGTGAGAGTCAGTTCTCACTCTCCTGATATTCTTTTTAACAAACCTGAAAGATTCACATTGGAAATTAAGCTGATTTCCTTTTATTTAGCCTTTGCAGAGCTGTCTACTGATATTCTCTGCTCCAGAGCATTATGATGAAGAGACAAAACTCTGTTGAGAGAAATACTAATGGAATTTTATTTTAAGGATGAGGTGACTATTCATCTCTGAACACTCCACATTTTATTCCTGGTGGGTCACTGGAGAGCTCGATATTTAGATCACATCATTGGATGCTCATGTGAAAAATTGCTTTTGCTGGGAAGTGCATTGATATTCACCCTTGTTAGCTTCAGACAGAGGGCTCTTTCAATAAACGCCTCCAGCACAACAGCAATCACATTTATTCTAGAAGTGATAAAGATGTGCTCCATGTGAAGACCTGCATGGAAATGTTCTTTTAGATCTATGTGCTGGGAGAAGCTTTACTTCCTCAGAATTACTGGCAGGCTTTATTTCTTAGACAACATGAATCAAACACTTGACTATATTTTCCTTTTTTGAGTGGGCCATCAGAAAGTTTAGAGCCAAATTTTTGGTTCGTCTTAGGAGTGGAGCCTGTGTAATTTTTTTCTATTTTCCCCCTGGTTTTGTCCATGTGCATTTTTTTTTTTTGAGACAGAGTCTCACTCTGTCACACTGGGTAGAGTGCAGTGCCATCATCACAGCTCACTGCAACCTCAAACTCCTAGGCTCAAGTGACCGTCCCACCTTGGCCTCCCAGAGTGCTAGGATTATAGCCGTGAGCTACTGCGTCTGGCCTCCATGTGCATTTTTGCAAGCCCTTAGTTTTAAGTTTTATATCTATTTCATCTCAGTAAATCTATGGAGCCATCTAGAATACTTTATGTATTAAGGCAGGGAGGAAATATAGCATAAGCATTTTAATCACTCCAATCTTCAAAAATTTTATCAAAGCACCCCTCACTCACCTTTAATAAAAGAAAAAGTACAAAATGAATCATGCATAGCCTACATTCTGAAATGGGGTTAGAATTTACAAGGACAATTAAAATGTCAACTCTGGTTATAAGCTGAGGGAGGACCCAGACATAGATCACTGAAGAAGACAAGATAGTATTTGCCCAATGTATAAAAAAGCAAAATGAGCAGGAAAACAATATTTCTACCTACCTAAGAAAACACTGCAAACAAACACTGCAATGAGGTGAGAGGGTTGTGCATAGAGAGAGTGGTTATGGGAAAACATCTCATCAGACCTTGTGGTGTGGGTCTCTTGGGCAACTAAGCAAAATCTATGGAACATCAAGAGTGCATCGACTGTAATAATATTGCATAATTGATCCCAAACAATTTGTCTCTCTCTCAAGAGGTGGTCTGATTATCTTATTGTGATGCATATTTTCTTCTTCATATATCATTTACTTTTTTCTTTTTCTTTTTCTTTTTTTTTGAGAGAGTCTTGCTCTGTCACCCCAGGTATAGTGCAGTGGCATCATCATAGCTCACAGCAACCTCAAACTCCTGGGCTCAAGTGATCCTCCTGCCTCGGCCTCCCAGAGTGCTACGATTATAGGCGTGAGCTACTGAACCCAGCCCCATTTACTTTATTTATTTATTTATTTATTTGTTTGTTTGTTTTTTTGAGACAGGTTCTCACTCTGTTGCCCAGGCTGGAGTGAGTGCCGTGGCGTCAGCCTAGCTCACAGCAACCTCAAACTCCTGGGCTCAAGTGATCCTCCTGCCTCAGCCTCCCGAGTAGCTGGGACTACAGGCATGCGCCACCATGCCCGGCTAATATTTTCTATATATACTAGTTGGCCAATTAATTTCTTTCTATTTATAGTAGAGACGGGGTCTCGCTCTTGCTACTTTAAAATGATTATTTGAGAAACCGAATTCAGTGGGAAAAGAAGGCTGAGGGAAGAATGACAAGAAAGAGAAAGTTAGAGACTTGTTTACAGTTTGCAGTGACCATGAACATTTTTCTTTGTTTGTTTGTTTGGTTGGTTATTTTCCAGCACAGCACTCAGGAAACAGTTTTGAAGAAAGACTAAGAAAACCACAAGCAAGAATAATACTTAATGAAAGTAGTAAGCATATACTAGTCCCAACATAGAATCTAACCATGACTAACTTTTGGAAAAACTCAGGCACCAAAATACACTTTGATGGTTTTAGGGCATAAGTGAACTCTAGACCTTTGGGATAGAACTGGGAAGATATAAGCTGTGAATGGTTGAGAAGTTTCATCAAAGTAGGCCTTTGTTCATCACCTTCAATTTAGCATTTTTTCTGCTTGTCACTGAAAATGCTGCTGAAGCTAAATTTAAAAACTGTATCTCTTCCATTGTTATTTTTCCTTAGATTGCCTCAGTGTAAGGAAGACTCCAAGTGCAATCAATCCTCTTTGGGCCTGTGGGTCATCCTTGCCCATGACCTTGGGAAACCCAGCCAATAAAGCCTCTCCCTGCCCCTCCCCCGCCCCCAACCTTATATAGATGCCCTGTGCTTTCTGGAAGGAAGGCTGACGGTTTGCTCTGCCTCAAGGCTCTTGCCTCTTCTGACCAGAGAACTATGACCTGGCAGTAGAGAAAGCTGAAAACCAACTCGAGTCAGAACAAGAGCTCCCCGCAAATGCTAAGGCATTGATGTAACCAGTCACCTCTGGAACTGGGAGGCAAGTGCAGCTGAAAGTAAGAGGATTTGTTAAATATCTCCATAAGAAGCAGTTAGACCCCCAGTAGAGGGTAGGAGGTTTTTACTCTAGAAATATTGAATCAGTGGGATTGGACTCTGGAAGGACACAAAACTTAGCTAAGGGTGGTGGCACTATGCTAGAAACAGGACAATTATCTAGAAGTCTGCACACTGATGGGCAGTACCCCAGGCCCTTCCATTTATTCAGATCTCAGATCATGTTAGCCAGGTTTAGACACCCCAGATAGGACATAGAAAGCACCCTCTCTGGGAAACCTCTCATAGCCTAGCTTCTCCTTGGGGCCTAAGTGTGCCACATAATATACTCGCAAAAGAATACCAGGGAAGTGCTGGGGAGGGAGGGAAGAAATTAGAAAAAAAAAAAAATACTAGCCTATATAAATAAGTCAATTATCTATTGCTACAATAATGCTGCATAACAAATCACCCCAAAACTCAGTGGTGTAAAAACCAACCATTTATTATTGCTCAAAAGTCTATAGGATGACTTTATTTTTGATGTGTTTATGTACACATTTGCGGTCACATCTAGGTCAGGTTGGTGGCTCTATGATCTTGGCTGAGCTTTCTCATGTGCCTGGGGGTTGGCTGGCTGTCAGCGGCTCATTGGCTAGCCTGGGCATGTTCACATGGTGGATGCAAGGTTCTAAGAGAGGGAATGGGAGCTCCAAGACCCCTTGAGGCCAAGGCTTGGAACTGGTACACAGTCATTTCTGCCACATTCTGCTAGTCAAAGCAAGTCACAAGGCTAGCCTAGATTCAGGAGATGGAAAATAGACACTGCTGGTTTAGAAAGAGGCACAGCAAAGTTGCAGATCAAAGAGCGAAGGGGTGAAGAATTGGGGCCCTTGTTGCAATAAATCTACCTACCATAGTAGGTTTGTGTATTTTTCTATAATTTTTGAATATATCATGCCTTGCTTTAACCTTAAAAGAAAGATTCCAGTAATAGCCAATGGAGGTAGATATTTTATGTACAATTCTCATTGATGTTTTTGGATTTTTCTACCAGTAGCAAAGGTAGAAATTAATACTTAAACTGAAATAAAATAGCCAGCCTGTGAATTTTCCCATGTGACGAATTACATGACTAATGTCTCCATCTGTACCTAAAATACAGAAGCACATGACATACGGAAATATGAGAGGCAGATGGGGGCTTCAGAGAGGAAATGCATCCTGTACGTAAACTGCAGCTGGGAAGAGAAGACAGCATTAGAGCAGGGAACAGAATCATTAATCAAGTAACCTAACCAGGGGGACAGCTGCAGCTTTTGGGGTCTGATGCAATCTCGCAGGCTAGGACTGACTCCATGCCGCCATGACCCCCCTGAGACAGTGGATAGGTCATTAAGAACATGCTCTTCAACACCAGGGAAAGGAAAGAAGCTAAAATGCTTTCTCATTTCTCTTGACTTGACAACTGCAATCTAGAAAGTTTTGCCCTTATAGGAAAAAACAAGAACCATCTCTTGAAAAACAAACCCACAAACGAGGGCTATTTTGGGGATTTTAGCGAGTGGGCAGACTCCCTCCAGAACCAGGACATCTGTGCCAAACTTTTCTTTTCACAGCTGAGTTATTGGCCAGATTTTCCAGGGGCTTCCAGTATCAATGTGAGAAAACAGAAGATTCTGGGAAATGAGAAAATTAAGAAGTCTCCTGCTCACTCCACATAAACAGAGTGAGCTGTGTTGGCCCTTGGAGTCACAGGACTGGGAGGGTCCCGGAGCATTTCCTGTTAGTTTTAAGACATCATCTCCTCCTCATCCGTGAAATGGGGGATTGTATCAGTTATGTATTGCTGTGTAACAAAATACTCTCACAAGTTAGTAGCTTAATGCAACAAACACTTATTATCTTGCAGGTTCTGCAGGTTGGTAATTAGGGAGCACTTTAGGTGAGTGGTTTTGGTTCAAGGTCTCCCATGAGGTTGCAGACAAGATGTCAGCCAGAGCTGCAGAGTCATCTGAAGGCTCGACTGGGGCTGGAGGATCTGCTTCCAAGATGGTTCACTCATGTGGCAGGAGGCCTCAGCTCTTCACCACATGGACCCTCTATAGGGCTGCTTGAGTGTCTCCATGACATTGTCACTTGGCTTCCCCTGGAGTTAGTGATGAGAGAGAAAGAGCAAGCAATGCACAGTGTCTTTTATAAGCTAATTTCTGAAGTGATGTATCATTTCTTCTGTATTCTCTTGGTCACAGGAACTAACACTGGTCCAACGTTGGAGGGGACTATACTAGGAATACCAGGCAGTAGGCACCATTGGTGGCATCTTGTAGGCTGATATCACAGGGAATTAGACTAGAGGAACTTTCCAGTTCCTTCCAGCTGAGTGGTTCTATGGTCTTGTGCAGAGAGGACACACACACACACACTGCTGGCACTAGAAGGTGTAAATATGAAATAGGATTTATTGGGGGGAAATTCCAGAAAATTCAAAAGCAGATTGCACAGTCCCTGCACGCGGACTTCTCACGATCTCACAGAGGGCTGAGCACAGCTGAGCCACACGAGCCAGAAAAGGGACCCCATAGAGTGGAAGCAGAACACACCACATATTTGTAGGGAAAGAGGGGAAGGGAATATTTATCCTGTTTAGAAAAGTGGCCTTGTGTAAAAGGGAGAGCTTTTTGGAACCAGTGACGGGGATCGCTCAGAATCCTAAAAGGCAAAGAAGTGTGTAATATATAAGTCCACAATTCTTCATGCACAATTTCACGATCTAAATGCTTTGAAAACTTAGTGTTTCTTTTGTCAGTGATTTGTTAAGAAAATTTGACTTCAAATTTTCAAAAATCCCAAGGCATAAGTAGACTTTTTCTTTTTCTCATTTAGGGTCAATATTCATACATTTTCCTGCAGAAATTTTAATGTGTTTGATTATAGGATGCTACCCCAGGCTCTGCTGAGAGACTTAATAACAGATACTATATAATACACTGTATTGTCTTTCTAAAATATAAAAATATTCATCTCTGTGTGGGTGGGCACTGCCTTTATGCAGTTAATCCCAACTAGGCAAGTTCTGCAAAACACCACAGTTGTGTGACCCCATAGCAGAAAATGAGTCCTATTATCTCAAGGCTGGACTTTCTGCATCACCGAAATCTTAACTCCTGAAACATGGAAACTTAAATGGGAATCTTAATAAAATACAAGCCAGCAATCCCTAACCCCAAATCCCTGGGGCCAGATATGTTTTGAAATCCATATTTATATGTTTAGAAATAATTACATACATAGTTGAGTCACATGTGATAGAACGGTTTGAAGCCTGATCTGCCTTTTATTAGTTATTAGTTTATTAGATGAATTTACCTTTCTGAATAGAGTTCCTCATCTGTAAAATGAAAATGATGGTATTTACCTCGAGGGTTACAATAGGAATTCAATGCAATAACGTGGCTTTAAGTGTTAGATAAATGATAGCTATTCTATTATATCCTCTGCTACTTTCTTTATTTCAAGTTCTATAAACTGAACCTTGACTCTAAGCACATTCCTATGTATTAGGCCCCTTTTTATTTGGTTAAGTTGGTAAAATCATTCTTTCTTGTTTCAAGTATAGTATGGGACCACACAAGCCTAAACAAGATGTAACTGATTATACAGGAATGATGATTAGTCAAATCCAGATCAACAAATTCCCAGTTGGTATAGACAATTGCCTTTACCTTATCAACAGACCTAAACTTCTCTGGATTTTGCTACATTTATTGACCCACAAAAAAGCTCATATCAAAGAAAGAATGATGAAAGGAAGAATGAGTATGTTTTAAGCCAGGTAGGCCATTTGGCATTGAATTTAGAATGCAAAGCAGCTGGCATCCAAACCCTGCTTTCTTGAGTGATGAGAAGTGGTTTTTGGTTGTTAGCCCCAAGTTAGAGATTAGGATTTCAAAGAGCTGCCTGGGGAGCAAAGTTTAAACTTGGGAACTGTAATTATATTTGTATATATCCCATCTGGTTAAACTAATTTCCTCTTTTCTTGGAAATGGTCTATAGTAAGCATCATATTTAGCTCTAACCTACCACCGAACAAATCCTTTCTTTATTTCTTTTTTGCACTTTCTGGTAGTGCATAAAAAGTGATTATTTGTAAGAAGTGGTTGAAACAGCTTTACAATTAAAATAATTTTTTTCAACCCATAGGTGGTCTATTTGTTTCCAGAATTTGCATTATTTCCATCATATATAAAAATCAATTTAATCACCCCCTTTTTATTTTCTTCATTTCATTTTGTCCTATTCAATTTTTAATCCTGGCAGAGAATTGATTAAATCCAGAACAGAATGAGTTCTATTAGGGGAAGCAGTTTCATTGCATTAGAAAGCAGAGGATGTAACAGTCCCTGGTTCAATGACCAGTTACATAAGTGCAGCACACTGTTGTTTAGAGTTTATAATCAAAAAACTATTGAGTTCGCTGCTTCTGTGAACTTTCCAATTCAAACTGTTTCATGATCAAAAAAGATATACCCACAAAACCTATGGAATGCTAACTCTCTGTAGGTGATGTAATGTAGGTTAAGCATTGCTGGGTCTAGACCCAGAGAATAGGGGTTTGTTTGTCTCATAGTTACATATTTTTCACTAAAGTTCACCAAAGCCATGCTAAATATTGAATATGCTATGTTCATTCTTGTTATAATTACCTTCCAAGCTAGTATAGGTTAAGCATTTGAGTTCGAATTCTATCCCTGAGTTTCCATCAGTAGCCCTACTAGTTGTGTGACCTAGGGCAGATTTCTTAACCACTTTATGCCTCGGTTTCTTTATCTGTAAAATGGGCTAATATAATATTTTATTGAATCGAAGACACCATATATAGATATTATAGTATATACCATTATTTTATGTACCACCAACAAAAGAAAAATGATGCTTCTAATAATGTTTGATTGTAAGACATTCTCATTTCAGAGAAGTTAAATGTGAAAAAATGTACATCTAAAAACTGATGAAATGTGGTAATAGTACTTACATGGTGATCACCCAATAAATGTCAATTATTCACTTTTAAAATGACAGCACCATACCTACACATTGTACAAATGTCAATTTCTTGGCTTTGATATTTTACTTCAGTTATGTGTGGTCTAACCATTGAGGGATATTGGATGAAGAATATAGGACCTCTCTGTACTATCTTAATAACTTCTTGTGACTTTATAATTATTTCAAAATAAAAAATTTAAAAATGCACGGTTTAGATTTGATTAAATTGGATAATAGTACTTACATGATAATTGCTCAATGAATGTGAGTTATTCTCTTTGGGGATGGATTGAAGATGGTTGCAAATTTCTTGTTACTTTCTCATCAGGAGATAGAATCTATTTCTTCTCCGCTTGAGTCTAGTTTGGCCTTGTTACTTGCTTTGACCAAGAGAATGTGGCAATGAGTCACTGGGTAACTTCCAAGGCTGGGCTTTAAGAAATCTGCAGCTTCATCTCCTGGAAAGCTCCCTCTTGGAACAAAGCAGCCACACTCTAAGAAGGCCAACTTCCATGGAGAGTCCACACTGGGGAGAACCAAGGCTCTGTAGTTGACAATCCCAGTTGAGCTCCCAGCTGGCAGCCATGTGAGGGGCCATCTTGGGTGATCCAGCCCAGTCAAACTCCCAGATGGTTGTACCACCCAGCTGACAAAATGTGAGACAGAATTATCCCAATGCCACTGCCAGCCATGTACATGAGCCATCTTGGCCATTCCAGCCCTTCAGATGAGTCTCCAGATGACTGCAACCCCAGCTGACACCCTGGGGAACAGAAGAATCACCCCAGTGGAATCCAGTCAACCCTCACAATCATGAACAATAAGAAATGGCTGTTGCTGTTTTATACCGTTAAAACATTATTGTGGAGAAATTCAAAGAGGTTTAAGAGTAAAAGGTCTAGAAAGTGCAGCACTTTTCGAACTTGAATGTGCAGACAAACCACCTGGGGATCCCTGGCCACTCCAAGGACACTCCTACCTTAGGACCTGTGCCCTGGCTGTCCCTCTGCCTAGAACCATCTTCCTTTCCATGTCCCCGAGCCTGCTCCCTCATCTCCTCAGGCTGCTGAGGGCCAGCCTCCATGCGGCCTCTCTTAGGACCATCCTCCCCACCCCAGGCACTCCCTGTCACCTGTCTCTATGATACTGCCCAGCATCTTACCTGCTACAAATATTTTACTTCTCATTTTGGTCATGGTTTATGTCTCCTGACTAGAATATAAATTCTGGACAGGAAGGAAAGTCTGTTTTGTTTGTACCCTAAGTCTCAGAACAGTTCCTGAGACATGGCAGGCACTCAAAAATTTGTTTTGCTTGAATGAATGAATAGTAACATTATTAACACGGGCCATTGTGGCAGTTCAAGAGGAAGTCTGTATTTGTGCCATCCAATACGGTAGCCATTAGTCCCACTGAGTACTTGAAATGTGGCCAAATTGAGATGTGCTGTGAGTGTCAAATACACGTGGGATTTTGAAGACTTAGTACAGAAAAGGATGTCAAATATCTAATTAATACCTTTAATATTGATTACTTATTAAAATGATAATATGGGACATATCAGGCTAAATAAAATATATTATTAAAATTATATAAATTCACCTATTTCCTTTGACTTTTTAAATTGAGCTACTAGAAAATGTAAAATGTAGCTTGTGTTAGGTTTCTCTTGGACAGAGGGGGTATATACTTATCTTTAATACCCACGAAAGTAGCCACATACAGAAACAGGAGACATGCTGTGAGTGAGTTCAGCTGGTAGAAAGAAAGAGAAATCAAGAGATTAACTGATATTTAACCAACCCTCTAGCAGGTTAGCAAATATTGCCTCCACCGCAGAGAGAATGGATTGATTGGTGGTAAAACTTGAGTTTGCAAATATAAGGTTTATTTAGATACATTTGTAGTTAGTTGCACAGGTTTAGCACATCTGCCTGAACTTTTATGTATGCTGCATGTATAAACTTTTTATCAAAAATATTTTGTGATTAGAAAACTAATCAAAGAACCTTAGGTAGATATTTTTTATTAGAAATTGGATATAAAGAATGCATAAATCCTAATCTGCTTAGCATTATTCATGATTGGATATACTTGTACTCCTTTCAATGGGTTAGAAAAACAGAAGCACTGACTGAAGAGGGGTGGTTTTTATTTTTAATTCATTAAATATTTCCACCTCACTCCAGCCTGAGTGACAAGAGTGCAAACCTGTCTTAAAAAAAAAAAAAAAAAAAAACAACCATTTGTACCAGGTACAGTTCCAAGCACTAGGGATACGGTAGTGCATAAAATAGACAAACCTCTTTGCCCACATAGAACTTTCATTCCAGTGGGGCAGACAGACAGTAAGCCAGTACACACATAGATAGAGTGTCTTGGGTGGGTTATAAGTGACGTGGAGAAAACCTTGCAGGGAGTGCAGTGGCGATGGGGAGGGGTTGCTGGGAGGCTGGTTGGCGAAAACCTCTTTGATGAAGTGATACTAGACCTGGCAGGGCGAGCCTTGACCATCAAGTTAGGGGAGGCCCTCCAGATAGAAAGAATGGCATGTGCAAAGGTCCTGAGGTGGGAGTAGCCAAAGATGAGCCACTGGCTTTGAGTGACATGGGGAGCCATTGGAGGCTTTTGAACAGAGGTGTAACGTGCTCTGTCTTCCTTCTTAAGAGAATCCCCTCACCTGCTCCATGGGGAAGAAGCTGCAGGCAGCTGGGGCAGAAGCAGGGAGATGGCTCAGAGGGCTGCTGCTCTGATGGAGTTAGAGAAGACTGGCTGGGAGCAGGGCACCAGAGAGGTGAGAAGAAGCTGCACTTTGAAAATGTTTTATATTTGCTTTCCCTTTGATTTCTTCTGAACCCTAGTGGAGGAAGCCAAAAAACTGGGAGAAAGAGGTCATGAATAATATTATCTTCGGGTAAAATTTGGATGTTTTTGTCCCAGGAAAATGCAGCTACATCATAGTGCAAGCTAATGGTGACATTTAGAATCAAAGCTCGCCTGCTCTACTCATAGCTCTGCATTTTGTCTCTTCAACCATACACATGGTTTCAATGACAAAGACTTAATTACACTTGGGATAAAGAATATTTAGATTTCATGTAGGGTGACAAATCATGGCATTTGATAAAGGTCACAGGAAGGACTTTCATGTTTACTTGTCTAGAATAAATATGTGTTGTGTCTAGCAAAATGCTAGGCCTCCATTAAGTTCTTAAATATCAATTGGTGACAAAATGCTAATTGATGACTTAATATCTTTTGAAACAGAAGTATGTATGATATTTATATAATGAGATTTTCAGAACACTCATGAATGGCTTTAAACTTGATTTTTCTCTGTCTTAGTCCTATAATCTTCACTATATAGAATGACACATACCACAATTTTTAAGTTTTGCATATATACTTTTCCATAAGTAGTTTCCTAAGAAGTTTGACATTTTCTAAGATATAATTCTCCAGAAGGAATGAAGACAAACAAGAAGGAAGGAAGGAAAGTAGGAAGGAAGGAAGGGAAAGAGAAATGAAAGAAAAAAACTATCATACATATGAAACCCTCTCAGAATTTTCTTACCCATTGATAAGATTCTTTGCAATTGAATATTTCATACTCGTTCAGGTCTTACAACTAGGCTATGAGAATTCCCAACCCAGGAAATTCTAACTCCTAGCCAGATCTCCAATTCCTTTCCTTTGAGTGGGGTCTGATTAGATAACTTGTCTTTGTTGATTAGAGAGGAGCCTGCAGAGCTTGTGAATGTGGCGCATGTTGCCAGGATCATGGTTTGGCCAACACTTTCCCTATGGAGTCACTTTGGAGAAAGCGCTTGCTGAGTCCTCAGGCCTATGTGACAAGAACTAACCGAGGTTCCCTGATTGTAAGCAGGCCTTGTCAAATCTCATTTCCTCTGATGTCTGTGTTTGGTGGCAGATTTGTCTGTCCAGTCTCTGAGAGGCAGCCATCTTGTTGTCATTGGCAGAGTGGCCCCTGTTTATATTCATGAATTGGGGTTGAGTCTTTTCCCTTCCAAGATGGGGCTGGGGCTAGAATTCCCACGCTAGGATGTAGTTCTAAGCACACACTCTATGGAACAGCCTAAGGGGAAAAAACCTTTAGGCTCTGCCTCCTTCAAATTCCTTGTTTTTCCCACCTCCTGACATTTTTTATTCAAGTGACTGTCACATCAAAATAAGCGTAAAGGGGGAAAAAGGCACCCAATCACCATATTTTTTGTTTTTTGGTTTTTTTTTGAAACAGAGTCTTGCTTTGTTGCCCAGGCTAGAGTGAGTGCTGTAGCATCAGCCTAGCTCACAGCAACCTCAAACTCCTGGGCTCAAGCGATCCTCCTGCCTCAGCCTCCCGAGTAGCTGGGACTACAGGCATGCGCTACCATGCCCGGCTATTTTTTTCTATATATATTAGTTGGCCAATTAATTTCTTTTTATTTATAGTAGAGACGAGGTCTTGATCTTGCTCAGGCTGGTTTCGAACTCCCGACCTTGAGCAATCCGCCAGCCTCGGGCTCCCAGAGTGCTAGGATTACAGGCGTGAGCCACCGCGCCTGGCTTACTATGTCTTTTGGAGGTGTGGGAAGTTAGTGTAGATTGGACTGTGGACTTTTTCTAGCTACTAAAGCAGGCAAAATTGTCATTTTGAGCTGATTGTACCTTAGATCCTGTTTAGTCCCAGCCAGGAGAACCCTGTCCCCAGCAGCAACCCCACCCTGACTCAGTGATGGCCTAGGACCACTCATCTAAGCAGTCTTGGCTCTCCCCAAGTAGGCACAGCCTGACAGAATCTGCAAGGTGATCTTTGCCTGAACAAGTGAGTGGAATTGGGAATAAATGCATTCCAATGTTTGCTGTAAAAATTATTTAGAGACTTTTAAAAAGAAAAAAGAAAACAACTCTGGGTCATTTGTGGGTAGATTCCCCCATATGAACGTCTAAGAAATAATGGTATTTTAATTCTCAGAATTGTTATTTTCTAAAACCATTGTTCCTATTTAAGGTTTTCTTATATGATGAAAATCTGTACATTAGAGTTTTTCAACTGTGGCACTCTTGACATTTGGGCAGGATAATCTTTGTTGTGGAGCTGTCTTGTGTACTATAAGGATGTTGAGCAGCATCTCTGGCCTTCACTCACTATATGCCAGGAGCACCTCTCAGTTGTGACAAGCAAAAATGTCTCCAGACATTCCCAAGTTCCCCTTGGGTGGCAAAATCAGCCCCAGTTGAGAACCACTGCTACAGTTATAGATATAATTATAGGTAGATATATGGATCTATTCCCCAAAAATGGACTGAAAGCTCTTTTAACAAGTTACCCTAGAAAATGAAATGAGGGAATCGTTTGGCAAGCAGAAGGCTTGCATTTTATAATTTCTAAACCACTGTTTTGAATATTTTTAAAAAATCCTATACTACCTTTGTAATTAAAAAAAGAAAAAACCTTGAAGAAACTCTAAAATCGGCTCTAATTCTTTCTCCTAAGGTAAGATTTCCAAGTGAAAGCAACCTGTTCAAACACCTGAGAAGGAAGATAAGAACCTCATCTGAGATTTGGAATTTGGAATTGCTTGCTCTTTAAAAGTAATTAAATTTGCCTGCAGAATCATCTCTTTTGCCTTGGTAATTCTCCAGGCTGCTGAAATACCACATTTGCAAAAGTACACCCACGATATAACCTATCTAGTTTTTTCTCTTCGTTTAGGCTCACCCACACAGGCATCTTGTGGAAGCAGATAGCAAAAACCAAAGGGACTCATGGGGACATCAGTGGAGCCCTGCCACCAGGTAAAAGGACCATGTCCCTTTTAGTATATATCTGAAAATTGCAGAGTGGAGACCCACTATTGGATGATGACAAAGGCAACATATTCAATAATATTGATTGGCACTTGTTCCTCACCTCTCAGGATACACTATACTAATTTCATTCCTCCACTGATGAACACTGTAAACTTCCTCATATTTTTAGTAAAATTCTCCATGTCCTTGTTATACTGCTAGCACAACTATTCACAATTCTTAGTGTACACTTTTTAAATTACTTTACCATGATTTGTTATAGCTCTGGTTCTAATCATAGTTGTTTTTTAACTCATAGTATAAAAAAAGTTGTCCAGCTGTAGTTTTTACAAAGTAAATTTTTTATAAATTGAAAAATGTATTTACATTTATAGGTGCTCTGGTTTTCCTTTTACTAATGAAAAAGACAAAGAAGTAACATTAGGCAATCAGGATTGGAACATGTCATGAAATGTTCTGGAAAATTCTTAAGATGAGCAAGTGGGAAGACTTTTGGAGAAGACAGCATTGTAAGTTGATAGCTTGAGGACTCCTTGACTCTAAACATTTCATATTAAGTAAAATGCAAAAATAATACTAAAAGATATAACACCATATTAAACATAAAGTAAACGTCTCTGTAGGGCAGAAATAGAACAGAAGCACACATTGGTGATCCAGGTTGAGCCTAGGCCAAGAAACAGGAGAAGGGGACAGAAGTTTTGAGTGCAAGGGGTAAAAGTGTCCATGGAAGGCCGAGGACTAGAACTTGGTTTAGTGGTGGCTCTCCCAGCCATGCAAGGAAGATCTAACCCTGCAGCATATCAACTCCAGCCCAGGTGAGTAAATGCATGGAGTTGACATTGGTTTCTAACATATTTACCACTTCCTGGAGTTACAAGATTGTCTCCTAAATACGTTTCCTCCATCAGCCTCTTAGCCCTTTTCACATCATTCTACTTCTGACCTATTTCAATAGTCTCTAAATGGTTTCCCTGCTTTTCAAGCCTCTTCATAAAACTAGTTCAATTAATTCCTTCAAAATATCACTTCATTATACCATTATATGGCTCTAAAACCTCATTACTAGCTCGCCACTAGTAACAGAAATGTCCAATGTCCAAGCTCTTTCTCATTTTCTTGCCATTTAAAGCCCATTACATATTGGCCCCATCATACCTGAGCATTCTCAGAATGAAGGCTAACAGGGGCCACGCTGCCCCTGACTCTCAGGAAAGCAGACATGCCATGCCCACTTCCTCAGAGAAGGGAAGTTGAAGTGTACCTCAGTGCCTGTACTTCCCAGCTTCTGTTCCCCCTGGTTGTCTTCTAGGGACCACTCCTTTGTCACTTCCCAGCTTAAAGGCTTTAGATAAGGTTGACATCATTCCCAGCTTCCAGGGACAATCAGGATATTCTACTCATGGGAGCAAATGACTTGGGAATAGGCAGAAGATCAAAGTCAATTTCATCAAGCCAATCCCTGGAGTTGGGTTTCAACTACTGGGAAAGATAAGCTCTCTTTTGGCTGGGGTTGCTGATCTGTGAAGACATAAACCTGGCAAAGCTTGAGGCCACCACGTGCATGCCTGAGAATGGAGGGAACACCAAAGAAAGAGCTGAGAGATAGAGAGAAAGCTTGTTAACAACACTCTTGCAAAATTATGTCATATAATGGTATGTTCAAAGAGTAGGGAGCAATTACAAAATAGGAAACAGAGAGTTCACTAAGGATGCTACTCACTGGATGCCTTTGCCATCAACCTCTATTCATGTGAACTTTTGCATTCTACTTTCAGAATGTCTTGGATTTCTCATTGCCACAGAGTTATAGACCTCTCAGGGCTTGCCCTGGCCAACTTCTCCTTCTTTGCAAACAGTTCTTGTATCTGAAACAGCTACGCAGCTCAGCTTGAGCTTGTGGGCAATGTCAAGTCATCATTAATTATAGCTTCCCCAAGAAGAAAATAACTTGTCTCGTGATTCTAGCTCTGACTTTCCAACCAGTACCCTTAAAAAGAAACCTAGGATTTTGCAACTGGAGTTTCTTTCTGATTCAAATCTCAAAGTAACATCTCAGCCTTTTTTTTTCTGCTCTCACTCACTTGGACAAAAATTTATGACAAAATATTCCACTTAACAGAAAGACAGGACTGGTCTTCATTAGATCCACTACATACCCATTCATACTCCTTCTCTCCTTAGACACCTAGAGCTCATAAGAAGGTGCACTTTTATAGAATGCTAAAGAAAATACTTAAATTGTAAAATGACCTCAATGATCCCTTTCTCTGGATCCGTTTCCCCCTTTCATTCTGTTTCCCCATGGCTACCAAGAGTCCTTGTAACCCATTTCTCTGTAGAGTAAAAATGTTAAGACATACAGTCATGCGTTGCTAACTGACAGGAATAGGTTCTGAAAGATGCATCGTTAGTCAATTTCCTCACTGTGTGAACATCATAGCGTGCACTTACACAAACCTAGATGGTACAGCCTACTGCATACCGCAGCTGTATGGTAGAGCCCACTGCTCCTAGGCTAACACCTGTACAGCATGTTCCTATTCTGAATACTGTAGGCAATTATAATATGGTGGTGAGTATTTGTGTATTGGAACATATCTAACCAAGGAAAAGGCACAGTAAAAATACTGTATAAAAGATAGAACATGGTGTACCTGTATAGGCCGCTTACCATGAATCAAGCTTGCAGTACTGAAAGTTGCTCTAGGTGAGTCAGTAAGTAAGTGAAGAGTGAATGTGAAGGCCTAGGACATTACTGTACACTACCATACACTTGATAAACACTGTACACTAAGGCGGCATTAAATTGATAAAGAAATCTTCTTTGTTCAATAATAAATTAACTTTAGCTTACTGTAACTTTTTACTTGATAAAATTGTTTGTTTGGTTTTTTTTTGAGACAGAGTCTCACTTTGTTACCCAGGCTAGAGTGAGTGCCGTGGTGTTAGCCTAGCTCACAGCAACCTCAATCTCCTGGGCTCAAGCAATCCTACTGCCTCAGCCTCCTGAGTAGCTGGGATTACAGGCATGTGCCACCATGCCCAGCTAATTTTTTCTATATATATTAGTTGGCCAATTAATTTCTTTCTACTTATAGTAGAGACGGGGTCTCGCTCTTGCTCAGGCTGGTTTCGAACTCCTGACTGAAGCAATCCTCCCGCCTCGGCCTCCCAGAGTGCTAGGATTACAGGCGTGAGCCACCGTGCCTGGCCATACTTGATAAATTTGAAGATTTTCTGTAACTTTTTGACTCTTTTGTAATAACAGCTTAAAACAGAAAGACATTGTACAGCAGTACAAAAATATCTTCTTTCTCCATATCCTTATTCTATAAGCTTTTTTGATTTTTTTCTTTTTAAAGTTTTTTCTTAAAAATTAAGATACACGCACATTAGCCTAGGCCTACACAAGGTCAGGATCATCAATATCACTGACTTCCACCTCCACATCTTGTCCCACTGGAAGGTCTTCATGGGCAACAACATGCATGGAGCTGTCACCTCCTATGATAGCAATGCTTTCTTCTAGAATACCTCCTGAGGGACCTGCCTGAGGCTCTTTTATAGTTAACTTTGTATATATATATACACACATACACACACACATATATATATATATAATGTCGACTAAAGAAAACTGTCAAGATTTTAAAGAATTAAAGTTGGTTTTATTCAGACATCTGGTGATTGATTACAGAGGCATAATCACCAACCCTGTTAGACATTATCTTATGCATAGGAAAAGGCAAGGACTAGGGTCATTTATCTTTTAAAGGACATAGTGACTGAAACAAGAGGTGCTGGGGGCCATGTGCTCTATCCTCTTTAGTCTTCAAAGCATCTTTCTGGAGAGCTGTGCGTCATCACAGATTCAAGGCTTTGTGAAAATATGCTGGCAAACAGAAATGAGTAAACATGACCTCTTACATTTGCTACTTTGTCTCACAATAAGTAGAAGGAGTGCACTCCAATATAGCAATGCAAATATAGTATTATATACATAATCAGTAATGTAGTTGTTTATCATTATCAAGTACCATGTACTATACATAATTGCATGTGCTATACTTTCATATGATTGGCAGAGCAGTAGGTTTGTTTACACCAGCATTGCCACAAACACCTGATCAATGCATTGTGCTACAATGTTATGATGGTTACAACATCACTAGATGATAGGAATTTTTACGACATCACTAGATGATAGGAATTTTTACGACATCACTAGATGATAGGAATTTTTACGACATCACTAGATGATAGGAATTTTTAAGCTCCATTATAATCTTACTGTCATAAATGTGATTCAATGTCAACCAAAACATTGTTTTATGGGACACATGACTATAATGTAGTTTCCTTATTGAAAACTCTTTTCACCCTGAGCAGGGGTTAGCAGACTTTTCTGTAAAAGACAGGATAGTAAATGTTTTAGGCTTCACCACCTAAAAGGTCTTTGTTGCAAGGACTCAGTTCTGTCATAGGCATTATGTAAATGTACGGGAGAGGCTGTGTTTCAATAAAACTTTAATTACAAAAACAGGCAGAGGGCAGAATTTCACCCAGGGCTATAATTGGCTGATCCCTGATCTAGAACAATGGTTCTAAAGTCTGGTATGAGCCCAGCAGTATCAGCATCACCTAGTTACTTATTAGAAATGCAAATTCTCAGGCTTATCCCAAACCTACTGAATTAGTAAATCTGGGAGCAGGATGTAAGAATTGATTTATGGAGACCTACAGGTGATTTGAATGCTTGCTCAATTTTGAGAATTACTAATCTAGAGCAGCATTTCTCAGCTTTGGCTACACATTAGAACCACCCGGACCCACCCCCAAACAACTGACATGAGACTCAGGCATCAGTGTTTTTAAAGTTCCCAGTGATTCTGATGTACAGCCAAGCTTGTGACACAGTGATCTCAAAGCACTGTGGGATGCCTCCTTTCTTTCTCAAACCGTACT